AAGGGAGTTCATGATGATGCTGGTCATCAGGGTCAGCAGCGCACATTGTGGCTTACGAGACAGTGGTTTTACTGGGACTCTATGGAAAAGGATGTCAAGGAATACGTGGCCCACTGTAAGAGATGCGTGTTGAGTAAAGCACCTGAGCCTGAAGCAAGAGCTCCACTTGTCTCCATTGTGACAACGGCACCTTTGGAACTCGTGTGTGTTGATTTCTGGAATGCAGAAGATTCAAATGTGTTAGTAGTGACTGATCACTTTACTAAGCTGGCCTGTGCATATCCATGTCCAAACCAGTCTGCTAAGACTGTTGCTCGTGTTCTCTGGAATAATTTCTTCTGCATTTATGGGTTCGCTGATTGTATCCATTCTGACAGGGGTGCTAACTTTGAGAGTTCACTTATTGCAGAATTACTTCAGTTATCTGGTGTTGGAAAGTCCCACACCACACCTTATCATCCCATGGGTAACGGTCAAGCAGAACGTCTGAATCGCACACTGGGTGGGATGACTAGAGCTCTGCCAGCTAGGTCCAAGGCTAAATGGCCTCAGATGTTGAACACATTGACATTTTCCTATAACTGCACTGTTCACGAGACTACTGGGTTTCTGCCCTTCTTCTTGATGTTTGGACGCACCCCTAGGTTGCCGGTAGATGTTATGTTTGAAAGTGTGCTGTTGGATGGGGACACGGTAGATGTGGATAAGTATGTCCAGTCTCTGGGTGAGGATCTGAGAGAGGCCATGAAATTGGCCCAGCAGCATGCCAGTAAGCAACAAAAGAGACAAGCCGAGGTCTACAACAGACGGTCGAAGGGTCATTCGGTAGAGAAGGGAGACAGAGTTCTACTTGCTAACAAGGGAGAGAGGGGCAAGAAGAAACTGGCTGGTCGCTGGGACAGTGCGGTGTACATAGTTGTTGCGAAGAACAGCTCACTGAACACATATCGTATACAACACCCTACCACTGGACGCATAGAAACTGTGCATAGGAACCTGATTATGCCAGTCAACTTTCTGCCTTTGCCTTCTTGGGAGGAACCTGTGGGTCACAGATCTCTATCGAGTGGTGACGTGATCTCTAAGATGTCTGCAGCGTCCAGCAAAATGGATGGGAGTGACGCAAGGACTGTCCACTGGGTAGCAAGCCTTCCTGAGTCTTCTGGGAGGATACTCCAAGAGGATGGTGGAGTCCCAGTTGATGGAAGTGAAGTGGAACAAACGTATGAATTCCCCTTGAGTGAGGTGTGCTCAGCAGAAGTGGACCAGAGAGAGATCCCCAAAGCCTACAAGAGTTCTGATAGCGAAACTCCATTCAGTGGGGATGGTGCTGTGACATATGTTGTTAACTTGGTTGAAGATGCTTCGTCAGTGTGGTCTGTGACAATCTACCAGGATTCTGATCAGTCGTCTGACACTACTAGTGTTGAGTCTGTAACTGAAAGTGTGCTTGCTCCGGATATGCCGATATGTAGTATTCCCCAACCTGAGGTTAGATCTCTGAGCACGGTTAGTGCTGTCCGTGACATTCCTGCTAGGTTTTTGGGTGAGGGTGTTCGGACTAGACTAGGTAGACTTATTAAGCCAGTGAATAGGCTAATCCAAACTATGTCTACACAGGAAATTAAACAGTTCTTGGTTTCTCAGTGACGGTAGGATATTGCCTATCTTTTCTTTTTTGTGTGTATGTGGTAATCTAAGTGGGTCTTAGAGTGATTTGTGGGTTTGTCTAATATGTTTGACAATTCATGTAACTTTGTGTGTAGTTAATCAGCATAAAATGTATTTGGCATTTTTTGTATACGGTTGAATAAGGGATTAGCTACCTCTTATTTTTCCTAATCCTTCACAGGATCGCTTTCCAGCTGATCGACCATTTGTGGGTCTAGAATTAAGGGACTGCACTGGGTTACTCTGTCGCCCTGTGGGTGTGAAATGTTTTTTTTCTTTCTTTGCTTTGTTACCTTCGAGGTAATGTGTTTTGTTTTGTGCCTATAATCTAGTGTAAAACAGTGGGGGTGAATGTTGTAGTGTGATGTTGTTCCCCTAGATTATGCACCAAGTTGCACACAAGGACAGTTCAAGTAGGCCAGGTCAAGAGGGGATGTTAATAAATTAATAATAATAATAATTCAATGTGTTTTCTTTATTTAATTACAGCTGCATAGCTAATGTAATTTTTTTGTGTACAAACATTTTTATATGTCTATATTGTAAATACACCTGATTGTAAACGTTTTGTATATTTTGGTTTGGTCCATCGCGGGTTATCTGTACTTACGTACCCTCTTATTGTTCTCTTTTGCCTGACTTTCAACTAGCAAGGTATGTTGTCCTTGGCGCTGTATTTTGTCAATATAAAACTGTGGTAAAGTTACACAAAGTGCTGTTACGCAACTATAGGTTTTGTTACAATGTGGACAGTATAAAGAATTATGTTAACAACTTTCACAGAGCTCGCTAATTAGGGTACCTATTGTAACTCGGGAGTATTTGGGACAGTGTTTGAGTGAGTTTCTATGTGCTCACGCAGGTGGCCGAGAGCTGTGACTGCACCAAGGGCTAACATATTGTGTGTTGTCTCTTCGTGTGCAGGTCGAATAAAAATTACCAACCATCAGAATTCCAGTTCTGGCAGTGTCCTAAGTAAAAGTACACAACGCAGAACGAACCACGCTACACCTGCTTTAGACTATTATACACTATTATTATTATTTTTGATTATGGCTTTTACATTGATTACCAGTTATATGGTTACTATGTCTCAGGGAGGGGCTAAGATAATATAAGGGCCAGTTTTGGTAGGGCAGGCTGATGTGAGCCTGGTAGACCTATATGTCCCCCAACCTTAGTCTCAATGGTTTGTAAATATATATTTTGGATTATTTTAAAATATCTCAATTGAATGTCTGGATAACCGCATATTCATCTGCAAATAAAAGCACAACTTGCACCTGATCCAGCCCTTACGACTGGTACACGGTCCCTATTTAATAGGAAGCCTTTCCAGTTCCCCCTACCAGATTTCTTCTTCTTGTTTATAACTACTGCCATTAAATACGATTCTCCCAGGAACAGCTGCCGATTCGTCGCTATTCAATTCAATGGTGCTGAATCTCCAAGCATCCTGCAGCTTGTAATTTGTGAGTGTCTATAAATCTGTCACATCCACTGTATTTTTCCTGGAGGCCTCCTCAACTGTGGCAACATGCTCCCTCTAGCTGTGATGCTGTTAAAGACAAATACATTACATGACCAAAAGTATTGTTGAACATCTCATTCCAAAATCATGGGCATTAATATGGAGTTGCTGCTGTAACAGCCCCCACTCTTCTGGAAAGGCTTTCCACTAAATATTGGAACATTGCTGCAGGGACTTGCCTTCCATTCGGCCACAAGAGCATTAGTGAGATCAAGCATTGATTATGGGCAATTAGGCCTGGCACGCTTTGTGCACGGGGGCATTGTCATGCTGAAACAGGAAAGGGCCTTCCACAAATTGTTGGCACAAAGTTGGAAGCACAGAATCATCTAGAATGTAAATGTATGCTGTAGCGTTAAGATTTCGCTTCACTGGAACTAAGGTGCCTAGCCCAAACCATGAAAAACAGCCCCAGACCATTATTCCTACTCCACCAAACTTTACAGTTGGCACTATGCATTCGGGCAGGTAGCATTCCCCTGGCATCCGCCAAACACAGATTTGTCCGTCAGACTGCCAAATGGTGAAGTATGATTCATCATTTCAGAGAACACGTTTCCACTGCTCCAGAGTCCAATGGCGGCTAGCTTTACACTACTCCAGCCAATGCTTGGCATTGCGCATGGTGATCTTAGGCATGTGTGCGGCTGCTCGGCCATGGAAACCCATTTCATGAAACTCCCGACGAACAGTTATTGTGCTGACGTTGCTTCCAGAGGCAGTTTGGAACTCTGTAGTGAGTGTTGCAACCGAAGACAGATGATTTTTATGCGCTAAGCGCTTCAGCAATCGACTATCCCGTTCTGTGAGCTTGTCTGGCCTACCACTCCTAAACGATTCCACTTCACAATAACAGCACTTACAGTTGACCGAGGTAGCTCTATCAGGGCATACATTTGACGAACTGACTTGTTGGAAAGTTGGCATCCTATGACGTTGCCACATTGAAAGTCACTGAGCTCTTCAGTACTGCCATTCTACTGCCAATGTTTGTCTATTGAGATTGCATGGCTGTGTGCTCGATTTTATACACCTGTCAGCAACGGGTGTGGCTGAAATAGCCACTAATTTTAAGGGGTGTCCACATACTTTTGTATAAATATTGTATCTCTGGGTTCTGAAGAGGAGAGCAATCATCCGTGATCACTGATTTTTTATGTGGCCCTCCGAAGATGAATTACCTGAAACATTGTAATAGACGTGGTGCTGCATATTGATAAAATACTTAAGTTATCATATGCCAATTTAATGAGAAGTACTTTTGTCAAACAGCACATATGGGCTCAGGGCCTACTGTGATTAGGCATATATTTGTAATAATTTTACAGATATAACGGACTGCTATCGATCAACTCATAAAATGTGAAAGAAATATATCCTGCTTGTGTAGAGGGTGGCTGCCATCGATTGCAATAAGCGATCGTTTGCAATACATCGTGTGTCTTAAAGTGTGTGTGTGTGTGCGTGTGCGTGTGCGCGTGTGTGACATCACCACTGGGATCTGCACCCGGAGGACTGGTTTGTTTGGACACTGAGTGCGCTCAGAACACCAGTGCGATGTCGCGCAAGGATAGAGTTGCGCGCTCTGTTGCATAGTCCTCACGACACAACTCCAGTCGGCCAGATATATCTCTCTCAGAAGGAGGAAAATGACGCAAAAGCTTGTTATAGCGGCCAAACGCAATGGGGACATATTGACTCCGATATTGGATTTGGAGAGGAATAAAGCATGATGGTTGTATAAAACGCACAGGGTGCCATTTTCAGTACTCTACAAACACCTGTCAACAGCTGAAAGATGAAGTTTGGGAAGAGCATCTGTATCCTTAATGTGGGTGGCACAAAATATGCGTTCTCTAAGGATGTGATAAAAGATTTCCCTCTGAGTAGAGTGAGCCGTTTGCACAAATGCGCCTCGGAGAAAGAGGTACTGGAAGTGTGCGACGACTATGATCGGGAACGGAACGAGTTTTTCTTTGATAGGCACTCCGAGGCTTTTTGTTTCATCATGCTGTACGTGAAGTACGGGAAGCTACGTTTTGTACCGCAGATGTGCGAGCTGTCATTCTATAACGAGATGATTTACTGGGGGCTGGAGAGCTCACACTTGGAGTTTTGCTGCCAGCGGAGACTGGATGATAGGATGTCCGACTCATACATTCATTTCTCCGAAGAGGAAGCCAAACTCGAGGAAGAAATGAGGGGCGAGAATTTGGTGACTCGCGTGGTCACAGAGAGAGAGGACTCAAAGTGGCTGGAGAGAATGAGAATAACTTTTGATGAGCCGACTTCATCCGTCGCAGCACAAATATTGGCCTCAGTGTCCGTTATATTTGTTATAGTGTCCATGGTGATGCTTTGCGCGAGTACTTTGCCAGATTGGAAAACCGTTGAGAACAACAGCGTGGAGGAGCACAGGTACAATCCAGACTCTTTAGACCATCCATCCGGGTATATATGTCCTATCTTTTTATATTTTTCCAGATTTCCCAGTTATTTGATTGTCTGCAATGTGGTACATGCTTCTATGCTCTACTTCTCAGTAAAGGACCGCAAGAGATCCACAACGTGTTATTTCAGCTGCTGTGAATAGCCTACACATACCCATGCACATTTTACCCTACACTTCTGCAGGGCCGGCTCCAGGCATAAGCAACATAAGCGGTCGCTTAGGGCCCCTCCCAAAAAAACTAAACTTACTGTTGAGAGTTAGAATAGTAGAATACACAAGGTGTAAGTTCGAAATTTGGTTATAAATCAGCAGTTTTTTTATTGTTTTGTCAGTCACTGACAGTCACTCAATTAGCCACGTCAGCTAACAATTGTTAGATTGGTAAATTAGTCTAGCCAGTTATCTAAACTTGTAGTAATCATTGCTGAATACAGACCGGGCATGCAGTGGCCCTGACCTCCAGGGGGCCCTCATTGATTTTGTTAATCATTCTCACTTAGATATCATTGATATGGCATAAGTCATGGCAAAATGTGTAGAATTGCAGGAAATTAGCTTTAAAACTGAAAAAATATATATCCACATCATGGCAAAATGGGTAGAATTGCAGGTAATTAGCTTTAAAACTGCAAAAGATTATCTCTGCCCCATAGCAAAATTAGTCGAATTTTATGGAATTTGTTGTGAAATTGAAAACATTTCTCTCCACCCCATGGCAATATGTGTAGAACTACAGAAAACGTGCTTTAAAACTGCAACCTTTTCTCTACGACCCATGGCAAAATGTGTAGATTTGCAGGAAATTTACTTTAGAACGTATATATTTCTCTCCACCATCAAGAGGGGGGCCACTAAGGGGGACCCCACAACCAAATCTTGTTTAGGGCCCCCAAAAGGCTAGAGCCAGCCTTGCACATCTGTATCTTTTAGAACTCATGCTAATTTAGAAGTATATATTGTTGTATTCTGCATATGATACAACCTCTAAATCTCAAGTGTGTATTAGGCCTACTACAGTAGTCCTGACCACAGCTGTCCTGGTGGGGAAGGGGGCAGAGGAGGAGCTGAATGTTTATCAAAGTTAAATGTCAAGGGAGCTTCTGGTCGGATCTTACAAAGTGAACAACACATTTCATGTGGCAAAGTCTCCATTTTGTATGTCGGTCAATTGTCATTATAATATGACATATTACACACTTTCAGCTTAAAGGTGTTCGAACTAAATGTTCATTGCCATAAGCACCACTGTCCCTTGAACTATTGTCGTTTCTGTCTCTGAGTTCTCAATTGTTATGCATTTTATCTTTCAGGACTAAAACGTCATAGTCTTTAACGCAAGAGAGGCTGAAGAACTTCACAAGTAGGAGCGTTGCCTCTCTTGTAACAGACAAGACTTACTGTCTTTGCTCCCTTTTTGGATAAGTGTGTACAGTCGTGGTCAAAAGTTTTGAGAATGACACAAATATGAATTTTCACAAAGTCTGCTGCCTCAGTTTTTATGATGGCAATTTGCATATACTCCAGAATGTTATGAATAGTGATCAGATGAATTGCAATTAATTGCAAAGTCCCTCTTTGCCATGAAAGTGAACTTAACCCCCAAAAAACATTTCCACTGCATTTCAGCCCTGCTACAAAAGGACCAGCTGACATCATGTCAGTGATTCTCTCGTTAACACAGGTGAGAGTGTTGACGAGGACAAGGCTGGAGTTCACTCTGTCATGCTGATTGAGTAAGAATAACAGACTGGAAGCTTTAAAAGGAGGGTGGTGCTTGAGATCATTGTTCTTCCTCTGTTAACCATGGTTACCTGCAAGGAAACACGTGCCGTCATCATTGCTTTGCACAAAAAGGGCTTCACAGGCAAGGATATTGCTGCTAGTAAGATTGCACCTAAATCATCCATTTATCGAATCATCAAGAATTTCAAGGAGAGAGGTTCAATTGTTGTGAAGAAGGCTTCAGGGCGCCCAAGAAAGTCCAGCAAGTGCCAGGACTGTCTCCTAAAGTTGATTCAGCTGCGGGATCGGGGCACCACCAGTGCAGAGCCTGCTCAGGAATGGCAGCAGGCAGGTGTGCGTGCAGATGCACGCACAGTGAGGCGAAGACTTTTGGAGGATGGCCTGGTGTCAAGAAGGGCAGCAAGGAAGCCTATTCTCTCCAGGAAAAACATCTGCAAAAGGTACAGGGATTGGACTGCTGAGGACTGGAGTAAAGTCATCCAATAACAGTTTGGTGACAAACAATGCCTTTTCCAGCATGATGGAGCACCTTGCCATAAGGCAAAAGTGATAACTAAGTGTCTCGGGGAACAAAACATTGACATTTTGGGTCCATGGCCAGGAAACTCCCCAGACCTTAATCCCATTGAGAACTTGTGGTCAATCCTCAAGAGGCGGGTGGACAAACAAGAACCCACAAATTCTGACAAACTCCAAGCATTGATTATGCAAGAATGGGCTGCCATCAGTCATGATGTGGCCCAGAAGTTAATTGAAAGCATGCCAGGGCGGATTGCAGAGGTCTTGAAAAAGAAGGGTCAACACTGCAAATTTTGACTCTTTGCATAAACTTAATGTAATTGTCAATAAAAGCCTTTGACACTTATGGAATGCTTGTAATTATACTTCAGTATACCATAGTAACATCTGACAAAAATATCTAAAAACACTGAAGCAGCAAACTTTGTGAAGACCAATACTTGTGTCATTCTCAAAACTTTTGACCACAACTGTATGTATCGCTAACTGTCCAAGGTGCTGATTTTAGTGGCATCCGACAGTACCTGTCCAAGGTGCTGATTGTTTGTGGTAGCCTACTACAATATTCAGGACCTGTCCATGGTGCTGATTCCTGGCAGAATAGGCCTACTATTGTCATATGAGACCATCGAGGAGACAGATGATAATAACGATGTATTGCTTTTTCTTGGTGTAATACACTGTCAGGCTCATGTCAACTTTTTTTTTTAAAGACTTTTGATGTTTTGCAGGAGATTAGAACATACATCAATCAAATGTAGCCATTTATCAATACATATAACTGTCAGCCAATACTTCTGTCCATTTGTCTACAGAGCTGTTTGTCATCCCTTTCTTGTCTGCTCTCACTCTGCTCTTTAACCTGTGTGTCTGTCTTGTATCCATGACTGCCACGCGGACCGCTCTCAAGGTATTGGTAGCTGAAAGGCACCCAACAGAATCAGTGTGTGTGTGTGTGTGTGTGTGTGCGTGCGTACAATTGTCGGTAATGCAGGTAGGTATTGTTCTAAGTAAATCGTGGGAGGTTATAGTTGTACCTGATTTACTTCCCTTTTTAAATGGGCAAATGTTGTATTAAAGTGAGCATTACATCACAAAGGCCAGTTGTCATAAGGTAATACAGTAAAGGGGACTTCCATTCTACTGCAACAACTTTGGATGTACTGAGCACTTGCACCAAGCCCTCACCTGAATGCAAATGACAAAAGTTTATATTTGGTCAAAATGTAATAATTGTCTGCATATAATTGACCCAAGGCAAGAATGCTTTATGTATAGCAGGTTGGGAAAACATTTATAATTGATGATATCGACAGTGACCCCTCAACATCACCACAAAATAATTATGTGAGATTATTCAGTGTATAATTTATAGTTGGAAAATATGAATAACAAATGTATCAATATTGCATTAATTGAGTTAGGTAATCATATATGAGATGTTATAATGTATGAGATGTCCGAATTCATTTATATCAGCATTTGAGAATAGCATATTTTGATGGACTACACTAAAACTGGCTTTTGAATGGCTCACTGGAATCCCTGGTTACAGCCCTACCTCTACTCGGAACCTTTGTGTCAGCCTGTCCTCCCACTCTCTAAACTTAATAGGCATGCTCAGGGCTCAGTCTCAACCAGGTCTAACTTGCCTTTAATTCATGGTTGAATTGAGGGAAAAGAAGCCTCCAAAAACCCTGATCAGTATGCCTCTACCATCCTCTTGCCCTGGAGGATACCCATGGAGCGGCAATACATCTGTCCTTATTCCTTATAGTCCCCTCAAAGCCCTCAAGGTCTAGGAATGGTCTCCAAATCAAATGAAAATCGAAGATGTGCATGCCAGTTTTATTTGTCATTTATTGCTGTTACAGTGCCTTCAGAAAGTATTCAAACCCCTTGACTTTTTCCACATTTTGTTGTGTTACAGCCTGAATTTAAAATAAATTACATTGACATTTTGTGTCACTGGCCTACACACAATACCCCATAATGTCAAAGTGAAATTATGTTTTTAAACATTTTTACAAATTACTTAAAAATGATAAGCTGAAATGTCTTGAGTCAATAAGTATTCAACCCCTTTGTTATGGCAAGCCAAAATAAGTTCAGGAGTAAAACTGTGCTTAACAAGTCAGTCGCATGGACTCACTGTGCAATAATAGTGTTTAACATGATTTTTGAATGACTACCTCATCACTGTCCCCCACACATACAATTATCTGTAAGGTCCCTCAGTCGAGCAGTGAATTTCAAACACAGATTAAACCACAAAGACTAGGGAGGTTTTCCAATGCCTCGCAAAGAAGGGCACCTATTGGTAGATTGCAACAAAAAAAAAAAGCAGACATTGAATATCCCTTAGAGCATGGTGAAGTTATTAAATCATTGCTTGTAGAAAAAACTATAATACCGTAAATTACAACCTGACCTTAAAAGGCAGAATATCTTCTGCATGTTCTGGAATAAAAACATGCAGGTGGTCAGGTTGGTAAATTACAACAGGATTACATTGTGAAATGTCTATATTGCATCAAAATGTAAGAGTGTCCATAAGTCATAAGGCTCCAAGACTATAGCCTACCAGCTGTTTGAGAGTGAAGCTTTATGAGTTATCAATGTGGTGAGACTGAAGCCTGCTATGAGTCGCTGGTCAATCAAGACCCACTATCGATACAGTAAAACAGTATTGTATAAGGGATTGACAGCTCCCTTCTTCAATAGAACTTTACTCTCCCACTGCTCCTACATTCTAAGAAAAAAGGGTTCATAAAGGGTTTTCTGTCTGTCTTTGTAGGATAACAATTTTTTGGTTCCAAAACCTTTTCACCCAACGAATAGGCCCTAACCCTCAATATACCCTTTAAGGAGCCCTTCAGTGAAAATGTTCTAACTTGAACCAAAATGGGTTCTACCTTGAACCAAAAAGGTTTCTGCTACAGCGATAGCCGTAGCAACTTTTTTCTTTAAGAGTGTAATGTCTGCAGTCCATTGCTTGTAGATATAGTGTGTAGACCTGTAGTGGAATCCCCTTCTCTCCTTCTTGCGTTAACTCTGCCTGGTTCTCCCTCCCACAGGATCATCGAGGCTGTGTGTATCAGCTGGTTCACCGCTGAGTGCATCGTGCGCTTCATCGTGTCGCGGGACAAGTGTGAGTTTGTCAAACGGCCCCTCAACGTCATCGATCTACTAGCCATCACGCCCTACTACATCTCTGTCTCCATGACGATGCTGACAGGTGAGAACTCCCAGCTGCAGCGGGTGGGCGTCACCCTGCGTGTCCTGCGCATGATGCGTATCTTCTGGGTGATCAAGCTGGCCCGTCACTTCTTGGGTCTGCAGACTCTAGGGCTGACACTGAGGCGCTGCTACCGGGAGATGGTGATGCTGCTGCTGTTCATCTGCGTGCCCATGGCTATCTTCAGCGCTCTTGCCCAGCTGCTGGAGCATGGCCTGGACTTGGAGTCGCCCAACGAGGACTACGCCAGCATCCCCGCCGCCTGTTGGTGGGTTATTATCTCCATGACCACTGTGGGCTATGGAGACATGTACCCCATCACCGTGCCTGGGCGAGTGCTGGGTGGTCTGTGCGTGGTAAGTGGCATCGTGCTCCTGGCGCTGCCCATCACCTTCATCTACCACAGCTTCGTGCAGTGCTACCATGAGCTCAAGTTCCGCTCGGCCCGCTGCACACGGAGCCTGTCCGCAGAGTTTCTCAACTGAGGGACCAGTGACGTTGCAGGAGGGCTAATGGGGGGGTGCCACCCCTCGCTACTCCTCAACACCTCTTCATCCACCCTAGAACTGTGTATCGATCCAAAACGTGGCCTCTTTCATTGTCTCAAACATATTTTGTTGACGTATCCCTCGTCTTTGAACAGCAGTTGTTGGGGTTATGTGTTTTGAGGTTTGCATACAGCACAGCCTTCAACCTTCAACAGTCAAGTCCAAGTAGGAAATAATAGAACCCGATGGGGACTAGGACAGTTTCCAAGGCTGCCATGGTGACAGTGGTTTTCAGGGCAGAGGGTATCTGGATCATGTCAGACCAGACAGAGGCCTTCACATACTGTGGATTACACTTCTGGCTGGCATTCTCCTCAAAAGAGATTTGAGTTGTAATGTCATTTTCAATCCCACACTCTGGCAGTGTCACAGTGTGGAGATGGAAGGTATCATTTCGCTTCTCTTTCTTAGATAATTTCTTTCTAGTATTCCTTCGGCCAGTGAGTGAACAACAATGCATTACAAAGAACCAAAGTGTATTAGTACAGTGTACACTGTATGTTCCCTTTAATCTTTCACTGCAATGCTCATCTTTCTGCTTTTATCTTGCGTACACAAACCTGACAGATATAAAGAGCACAACACTTTGTGAATTTGAATGAGCCCATTTACAACTCAAACATGGTCACATTTTAAACCTATTACCTATTCCACCTGAAAACCAACCAATGCGAAATGGCTTTGAAATGTATTTTTCGCAGAAACCAAGAGGGGGGGTGGGAGGGTTTTAACAAGAAAGAGTACAATACCGTGTGGGTCTGTCAGCTCAGCTGTGTAGGCAGGTCTGTAATGTGGAACACCGAGCCACAGATCGAGAGTGTGTCATGGAGAGACGGGTGGTTCGGCTGACACCACACAGTGCAGTGCGGAAAGGGCATGCCTGCCTCAGCCTCGAGAGCACTGCGAGTCTTCTAACTGGAGGAGTGTAACCATTTGTGGCTGGTGTCAAAACCTTGGGAGTCTCTACCTGTCACAACAAAGGCACTCGGCATGCCCCCCCCTCGGTACTGTATGTCAAAACCACCACAGCCTTGGTAGGCACTCCTCTCAACGTTGTTGTCTGGCCCACCTGCTTCTCCTCGACATACTGTCGACGCCATGTTTGAGTGGCTTGTGTGACGCATTCGGCCTCCTCTCCTGCCAGAGTGAATTCGGGTGAATCTGAAAAGCTTTCATCATGCCTTCACTCATTTCTATGGTGGGGAATTGGGAATCGGATCATCATGTGTTCTCTTCACATCAGCCTGCTTCAGGGTATCCTACCTGTTATCGCTAACACGTACCATTTCTCTTCTCTCAGATTGTGCATATTTAGTTTTTTGCCCTAGGACTACACAGCTAATTCAAATAACCAACTCATCATCAAGCTTTGCTTATTTGAATCAGCTGTGTAGTGCTAGGGCAAAAACCAAAACGTGCAGCAGGACCGAGTTTGGGAAACCCTGCTCTATTTGATGTGATTGGTATTCACCGCCGGGAATACCAGTCTAATTGTACTAGTGATGCTTGTTCTGTTGACACAGATTTGGTGTTCCTTTGCTTTGTCTCAGCCCCATCTGCTGCCTCTGATCTGCCCTGGCTTTTACTTGATTCATCAGGGATTCTAACTGCTGCAGGGGGGACTGAGACTCTGACACCATAAAAAATCCAAACAACATACAGACCATAATAGCTGGACTTTCTCTAACCATACTCTTTCCCTCTTCTTAGTCTGTTTGTCTCTCTGGCCCTCTTTCTCTCTCACACACACACAAACACACACATTTACACAAAGTCCCAGTGGTCACTACTAATTATCTGGGAGTGCCCCATTTCAATAACATGGGTAAACAACAAGAGAGTGGATTTCACATGTATTTTTCCAATCAACACTGCACATATAAAAAGTCAGAAAGGTCATCATGAATTAAATTTCTGAGTAAATCCATTGACACACATCTAAAGCGAAGTGGGATTACAAGACAAATCAGGCAATAAAAACTAATTTTGAGGAGATTAAACATGGTTCACTGGTTATAAGACCATTGAGTGACCTATTTAATGTCTGTCTGACACCCTGTCACCTTTGACAGTGCTCTACTCAATGAAATGTACAAATACTCCACGCCCCACTCAGTGCAATCTTGATATTTGGACTGGGAAAGTATTACGTGAGTATCTCTGTTGTCATCACAATATGTATTTTGCCATTGGACTAAAACTGTGAAAATTAATGTGACGTGTGTGACAAGTAAACCGCTAGGGAGTTTGATCCCTTGTGAAATGAACGGTTCTGGAAAAGTTGCTGTTGTGTTCAGGATCAGGTAAAAGGCAATGGGATTTTTGTTTTGTTGGAACAAATGTTGTATTTCTGAATTTAGTATTTGAGAATAACTTGAGAATATTTCCACTACTGTAAACCCTTGTAGGACATATTTCTTTGCTCACATTGGATGTAGTGGGGACAAAAGTGTCCCCACATTTGTTACAAGACTTGATAAATAGTGACATTTCAGATAGGACCTGCAACTTCTGGATACTCTACAGTACGTTGTCACACCCAAACACCTTCTGTGGGCCCCTCTAGCATATTGCTGCTTCAATAGAATGTACAATTTGAACAGTGCATATGATATCTTTTGAGAAAACGGTTGTGTTTATGCAAGCCATATCTACAAAATGTTTATAGTTTTTTCCGTTATTTTTTATGAAACCAGCTATTTTGTATAGAGCTTATGTTTACAGATAGAAGGGTTATATGGTTGTATATAAATAAAGCAAATCTGTCCAATCTTTACGTTAATCTGACTACATTTAGGCTTACATGCCTGTTCACTTTTGAGTTTACTTTATAATATCATAGAGTGGGTAACACACATATTAGCTAGCAGCCTCTTATTCATAATTCTTAATGCAAAATACAGGAAGTCATTCATTTCAATGGAACCCATTTTATTAATATATTACTATAACAAACAACAAAACATTGTTCAAGGAGAAAATTATGGGAGATTGATGTTTGAATAATGTATTTTTGACTATGCTTCTTAATTTACAGGGACACGTCGGGATTTTGTTAATGAAGACCTTTATCTACTTCCCCTGTGTGCAGTTTGAAGGAAATTGATAACTAGTGTCAGCACAATGACTGGACTTCTGTTACCACAGATGTCCAGTCATTGTGCTGACACTAGTTAGCATTGGCTTCTGAAACTACCTCCTAACGTAATACTGGACGCAGAGACATACAAATGGTATCCACAAGTTCATCTGACTCCGGGAAAGTAGATAAAAGGCTTCATTACCAAAATCTTGAAGTATCCCTTTAACCAGGTAGGTCTAAGTTGGCTGAGGGAACACATTTCCATTTATCACCACAACCTGAGAAGAGTTCCATCAAAGAAGGGTTCCAATGAGTTGGGGATGAATAACTGGCCATGATATGGGGGCAGATTAGGGATCCCTACTCTTGTGACATTTGATCATGACCAGAATCAGTATTTAGGTCTGGGCAGTGTCCCCAATCATGAGGGGGACCACCAGTCCATATGAATTGCCAACGCCAAGACAATGGATGCATTCCCCTGCTCAGACTTTGCATGCTTCAACCAATGGTTGCATGCCACGTCATCGACTGTGCAGTCGGGCACAAGATTGCTATAACATATGGGACCATTTTCCCTGCTCAGACGTTGCATGTATCAGCCAATGGTTGCGTGCCTCGCCATTGACTGTGCAGTCGGGTGGCAGATTGCTATAACATATGGGATGCGTTCCCCTGCTCAGACGTTGCATACATCAACCAATGGTTGCGTGCCATGTCATCGACTGTGTCATTGACTGACAGATTGCTATAACATATGATGTGTTTAGCTGATATGTAACATACCTATCAAGGCGTTGTGTGATCTGGCAGGCATCAGCAACGCCTGGGCAGAGGAACGTGCCATGATGTGGTTAGCTGATATGTAAAATACCTATCCAGATGTTGTAAGATCTGGCAGGTGTCAGCAACGCCTGGGCAGAGGAACACGCCCAACACCACTTCCAGCAACATCTAGTCGAGGGCTCTCCAACCCTGTTCCTGAAGAGCTACCCTCCTGTAGGTTTTTGATCCAACCTCAGTTGTAACTAACCTCATTGAGCTTATCAACCAGCTATTTATTAGAATCAGGTGTGCTAGATTAGGGTTGGAGCAAAAACCTACATGACGGTAGCTCTACAGGAACAGGGTTGGTCCAGCCCTGATCCAGTCCCATCCAGGTACCAACCAGTCCAGACACAAATAGTATTGTCACTTTCACAGCATATTGCAGGATGATTTGAGGACTCACTCAGGTCATTACCTGCTGATGCACAAAAGTTGTCATTTTCTATCTGATAAAATATGTGCTATGGTTCCAATAATTTTTTGTATTATATTCTCTACAGTCAATGACAGAGCCAGTGAGTATAAACATGTTGTAGTAGCTGCTTACCTAAATAAGACTTATTCATTACTTGATTTAATTATGACTACACTACATCTATCTTATTCCTACCCAAAGGGAACACCTGGAATGTCTTGTAGTTGGAGAAGGCGAGCTCGCGGGTCTACTGCAATATCTAAGCTCTCTCTTCCGCTAACCGCTCCGGTTTGCGGTTTAACTTCGCCATATGAACTGAGCTCAGACAGGTAGCCTGCGAAGTCGAAAAGGTGCTCAGTGATGCACCTCTTGGCACACAGTAAAGGTGGTGAGTAGTGAGGATGCGGCAATGGAGGATATGGAGAAAAGGTTGGAGAAGCAACAGCTGTGCTGGAATGCGATCAATATGGATGATAGTTGTGATGAAATGGATTGGGAGGATAAGGATCAAGGACCTGAATGGTCTGTAGTGGAGAGTAATAGGAAAAAGAGAGACTATGCTACTGAAAATAGTGGTGCTTGTAGCGATGACGGCGCGAAGAGGGTGGAGGT